AGATAATTTTAATTTGACATTAAAGTTGCTCACGCGACTTAAAACAACAGATATTTTGAGATTTTTGTCATGTAGGCGCTTTTTCATTTCTTAACCGCAATTTATTTAAATGACTTAATTAACTTTAACAACAATAATAATAAATTAAATATTTTCCCGCGGTTAGATGTAACTAAGATTTATATTCAACAAAAAAGTATAGTAAGTAAAATAATTCATATAAATTAATGTGAATAAATTAGGAATGCTAAAGTTTTTCTATATTAGGAATCTCTCTTAGTAATTAAAATGATTAGAAAACCATTTCTACAAACTTTACGTGTTTAAATTATAGGCACGTTGATTCTTTTTATTATAAAACTTTTATACGTATATACCTAATATGAGAAATAATACGTTCAATAATACGCTGGCATTGTCTTATTACAATAAATTGAAATGATATATCAATTTTTTCACAACAAAGACATACATTTCGAATTATCACAATAAACGTTTAATTTTGTTTTTTTTTTATCTTTCTTTTTAGTTCAATTAATACACAAACCAAATAGGTCTGTTGAATTATCTTATTGAATATGTTTAATGCAAAACTCATATGCAACCCTGCGCTTTATTATTATAATAAATCTACATCTTATCTAAATCTAAATCTGGAAAGACTTTTATGTTCAAATAGATATACGTATTATGTTCGAATTTTGTTCGAAAAATTTGTACGGATTAGTGAAAAAGTGAGAGTGTACGCAAAAGTCTTACCAAAGTCTAGCTTGTGTAGACGCAGGGTTTCATTAAGACACATATCACAATAAATCTTACTTATTACAATAATTGAAGTTATAAATAATCCACAATCGTTTACACATAATTGGTGTGATATATGACTACTTTCAAAATATTTTGTCGTTTATAATTACAACTTCTAACGATTCTAAAGCTTGTTCTATATAATAGAATAAAGCTGTTTTTTTTATCAAATTCACTTGAATCTGATATTTCAATGCTAATTGATGTTGATGAAATTCGTTTCTGCATTTTAAGAGAAAAAATTCGCTTAATAATCTATCACGCTTAATACCAAAAACTCAAAAAGTGAACTTAAGATTGAAATCATTCACCAAAGCTTACTAAACAATAATAAAGGTGGTCCTTCTGATACGATGTCATCCGTGTGCCAGAAGTAAAAAACTCCATTGAATGGAAAAGTTCTAAACGTCTAGTGCACGAACATCGTCCCTTTGAGAAGAAACGGCTACTCAATGCATTAGAAGGATACCAACCTAAAAAGCCTATGAACCTAGCAAGCCGTGAACTATCGTAACCGATACCGTAATACTGAGTTGATTCTGTTTTAGTTGAAGTAGCTGACTGATACAAATTTTGTTTAAATATGATTGAATAAGTCTTCTGATCTACTAAGAATCTTCTACTAAGAAAATTAAATGATATTAAATTTGGCTTTTGTATTTATTTTGTTCAACATTTATTGTCATTTAACTTTAATTAAAGTATTTGAGGATACACCTGTACTTCCTATAAATAAGAGCTCAATTTTAATACAAAAATTAAAAATGATTACAATTAATACAATTGTTTTTATTTTATTTTAATTTATTAATTAATTAATAGTTATTGTTTTTAAAGGTGTAAACTGCCACTTAATTAAAGTAAGAAATTTCTTTATACAAGAAATATTTAAATTTTTATTTTAAAAATTAAGAAAAGAAGTGTTTTTTACATTCAAATATAAATTTTTATAAAAAATTTCGGTATGTTCGATATGGAAAGGTGTTTGTAAATAATTATAAATAAATCGCTCTAATAATTGACTTCTAACAAAAGTATCTTGCATTTCATAGATATGTACAGAAGTAGGGAAGCCCGTGGAATGAAGAGTCACTTAAAGAAGAGATAATTTTTTGCTTCATTCATTATAGAATATTATAGAATATAGATGATGGAATACAGTGAATTTATGTACATATATAGATGCTACCTGTACTATATAGATATTCAAGTATACGTACATATATACTCGTGTAAGAAGAGCAAAAACTATATTTATTTGTTATGCCTGACTTATTACTTAATTAGCTTGAGCTTGAGAAAAAAGTTGATTCATTTTATTATACATAAATTTTATCAATACGTAAATAAATAATTAAAAATTAATTTATATTGTAATAATACAATAATAATTAATACAGAAATCATTAATAACCGTGATTATTGCAGTAAAAAATAATAAATGCACATATTTTTATTTTAGCTGAGCAAACTTTGTTGCTAATTAAACTCAATTCAATATTGAAACTTCGGATTGCACGTAATAAATATTTTTATATACAGATAATCCAAAGCTTCCAAGCTTATAGGAAATTCTGGGCTAAAATAACTGCACAACTAAGCACAGATAAGGAATAAACTATTTTGATACTAGAAGGGTAAGCAATTAGCTTTTACGAGTCTACTTAAGAAGTTGACGGAAACATAAAATGCATTTAATAGACATTTTTACGATGCAATAAATATTATTTTAAATCTGTCTGAATGTTATCGTATAGATAACTACAATTTCCGTATTTACTTTGTAGCTTTATTTCTATATCGAAAGAAAAAATTTTGTGATAAAATATGGATTTAGTAACACAGATTTTTTCAATTTGTAAGGATGAATTAAAGAAGATGAGTTGTAGCATAGAATAAACCAAAAGAAGTTTCTAATAACAGTGATATGTTCTCATTATTCCATAAGGCAACAGACAAGCACACATAAATCATTGCCTAATCTCAAGACTAAACCCGTACACCTTCCCCCTAACTTTCCCGTACACGGACTACTACCTCTCTTAATAGGGCAATTAATCATTAATCAGTAATTAACTAAGTTTTGTGGTTTCCAATAATTATGACGAGCGATTTCATTTTAGATTGCAATATTGATTTATGATTTAAATACTGTTTAATGGATGTAATTTGGTGTATCAAAATAACAAAACATTTTAAATACAAAACAGATTTTTATCTTTTGTGTGTGTGTAGTACGTATAAAACAATAATCAAGCCTTATCAAAAAAACGGCTTTATTGCTGTACTTAAACTATTGACAGATTACGAAAAATTTAATGGGCTCTCGTGTCACAGAATTGTTAGGAAAATTATTGCATATTACGATATACGATATCTCGGAATAAGCTGAACACATTTCAGAAAGACATTAGATACAAAAGCAAATTAAACATCAAAACAAAGATATTCTTATATCACTTAAAAACTGATGACAGTCATTTTTGTATAAATAATGATCGTTAACGTCTATAATAGTTTTTCGACATATTAAAAAAAATTTACAATTTACAATTTACAATTGAAGTTAAATGAATTTTTAATGGTGTTGTACAGCTATATAAATGTACAAAATAATGATTTTTTTTTTATTTAAGAAACTATGAAAAAAATTGTTTCTCATTTTCTGACCCACAACTTCAATAGCAGTCAAAAGGAGTCTTTAATCCATTGATTTGCTTACGTATTAGTCAGTGTTCTGTTTGATACAGTGCATCAGCGAGATGCGATAATTATCAATCGGTTGCTTTATTCTTATGGGATTATAGGTGGATCATGCGAAAACCACAACTACGAGTGTAGACAAGTTAGAAGTCTCTAACTTGTTGAGACGTGTACATAATGGACAGTGTTCTATTAGTATATCACCTATTTTGGCCAACGAAATTTGATCAAAATCAGTCAGTTACTTTATTCTTTTGTGATTATAAACGCATTTTGAGAACTATCTTTGTCTGGTTGACATGTCTACATATATACGAGAATGAGACAATCTCTTTTTAGTGTATTTGTA